CCATATTTTTAAAGGCTTAGCGTAAGCCAGTTTTGAAAACTCTTTCTTTATTTTAGGTGCTGATCGCTAGTTATAGGCATATAGCTGGGACGGTGGCGTCGTCCTGTAATCCAGCTACTAGGAGGTCACGAGTTGTGGATATTTATAGGCATGCACTGTGGATGCGATACTCCCTGGTGTGGATTAACGTCCACACGAGTGAGTACTACGACTATCCGCAGTGCTACCCTGATAATTAGACCAATTCGTGCATACCATGGAAAAAATTTGGTTCGGATTCCACTATAAACTGTAGGTCCTTTAGTTGCCATTAGATGTATGGGTTATTAATTAACAGCTGTGTCTAAGGAATGTCGACCTTAGTCTCTAACAAGACTACAAGATCGCGCCACTCATCTCCATTCATACTTGGCTTAAAATACCTACTTTGTATGGTCGCCATTTAATAAGAAAGTATTAAATTATTAATAATAATTTAGCAACAAAGTAATTGAGTTGGACCTCCAAAGACTTGTTTAATAAGGAAACCCCTTTGTGAACACTTTGTTGGGAGACACAAATACTTAACAACAATCGAAGTAATAATTAATTCGACGGAATAGTATGATCCCTGTCAAACAATCAAATTGTTTCATGTTTTATTTCGATTTATTAAAAAATACCATGTGAGTTAACTACATAATAAAAAAAAAGTTTTGGCGTTTTCGTTTTTCTGTTGTTAGAGCATAAACGTATTGTTACGACAAAGAGAAACACAGTCAACTTTATATCCAATAAATTCTACTATATCAGTTAAATCAATAATGATGAAATTATCTGAATACTTTATAAAGAACTAGACACTTTTGGTATAAAAGGACAGGAATCCTTACCATATTAAATTCAAAATTAGATCTTGCGTCTTTTATTGTTTGATTCAATGTGCTACTAGATTTTTAAGGCATCGAGCTTAACTTGACTAACCCAGAACAATATTTTGTATCCAAAGATTTAAATTTCAGTAACTGTTACTAGTCAACTCATTACGATATAATTTAAGAACATCAGATCAGATTTAAATATCATATTAATCTTTGTTAATATACTAGAATGCTAATAAATATGTAGGAGGTAAAAAAATGTTGGTTGGGATATTTTGTTGTATAATATTTCTTCAGCGATACTGTTTATTCATATTTTACTCAGTGTTAATAAAAATCCCCACACTTAAACCATTTCTGTAAAAATTGTGTGGTCATTCATTTTTTAGTCTTAGCTCACTGATCTTATAGATTGGTATTCAGTAAAAAGAATACTTAATTTTAGACTTATATTGCCAAATAACTTGGACGTGAATAGATTATATTGGTTGCCCGTGCCCTATATACGATTAAATGCATACATTGATTACTACTTGATCTGTCAAATAATGCCTAGGTTTGCACAGACAAGTATTCAGATTACAAACAACCACATTTATTTGAAGTAGAAGTATAATTTGCCAAAGCTTTGTTGTATATCCAACAATATTAGTCCAGCATATATGGTTAAATTACATAACTTATTTTGCAGATTTTTCTCTCATTGTTAAGAATATTTCTCAAAACAAATTTTAAAGAAGGCTATTTTTTAAAAAAGCTACTTATAGCTAGTGGTAGGTCCAATGGTAAAGCCTCCAAGGTTTCTTATTGTGCATTGAGTCATTGAGTGACTTATCAACGCCCAGAGGCTTTATTTTATTTTATTTTCAAACATAAACGGCAATCACAATTTTAAAATTGGGTTTTACATTGTAGAAGCAAACAAGACAATCGATAGAAAGATTATAAGATTGCAAACACAATTAATTGATTGAAATATACATTAAAAGCTATACAAAAACAACAACAAAGAGAACTGCTAAAAAAACAAGCAAAAAAGCTTTTGGTTGTCATTATGTTTCCCACCAATCTATAATTTAATTTATTTAAACCTCTAGGCCTAACCAGAAGTAATGTGTAAATGTAGTAAGTACCAGGTTCACTGCCAATCTGTAATGGCTTTTTATTTGCATGATAATGTAACGATCCTCTAAACCTTGCGTACAGTGATTTTTTGCTTGGGCCTAGTTTTTTCTTCTTTTTTGCCCTTGGACGCTGTCTCAAGAGCGTTTTCACATTACTTTATGCTAGACAAAAATGTTACGGTGGATTATAATGAACTATGATAAATTAGATGATATCATGATTTCATTGTATGAAACCCATTGGTTATTTTGTTTGATTTCATCCCGGGACCTTACAATTATTGAAGTCTCAAGCTCTACCACTAGACCAGCTCACTCTTCAAATACTGAATTAGAGTCTTAAAATGTGTTTGAATCCATCAGGTTGATAATTATATCCTTCCTACTAAATTAAATGTAAAACGATGCATTCAATTGTATTTTTCATATACAACTAATATTCATTGTTAAAGGACAATGCTGAATCGTCTTTCCAACTAAGTACATTACGATAGTAAATATCATGAAACCTAGATGATTATTTGCGCTTCGTCTAGCTTGTAAATTGATGTTAAATCAAATTTATCTTGACAAGATTGCTTTTTACTTCGTCAATGAATCCAGTACACAGGAAATACTTTATAGGATTGTTTGATTTCATTTGAGTAAACCTAGTGTTTGTTAAAACACATTTAAAATAAGTCTCGCGAACCAGAAATGATATGTAAGAAAATAAATAGTTTTATAAATAGACATCTCCGAAGTAAGCCTAACCATGATTGTTTATCGTTTGTTGTCACTGATACAATTATTAACAAGATTTAATATTATTGAGAAAATCACTATTTTTTTATTTATAGTCGAAGGGTTTGATTAAAGGGGAGAAATTGCAATACCTAAACATGTGTTTTCGAGTTCTAACTTGTAAAAAAATAATTCGGGATTGTATTATAAACAATAGTTAGTAAAAAAAAGTAAAAGGTAATATTTATAAAATTATTTCCAATTTACCAAACATAAATATTATGAATATAGGATTCTACTAAACTTATAATATTTCTTCAAATGAAAATATTTAAATAGGGATATAAACTGTTAAGTTAGTAAAAATAGTTATTTGTGCAACTAGTGAGAAAAGTGAGCAATTGACTCACTCGAGAGAAATCCTTACTCACGAGCCGTAGGCGAGTGAGGAATGGTTTTTCGAGTGAGGCAATTGTACTTTGAACTCGAGTTGTACATTATACTTTTCCTACAGTTACCATAAAACAAATAAATTTGTGAAGAAACATAACCTATTTTTACACAGAAGTGAACTTTTAATATAACATTTAATGTGAAGTGACAAATACAACAGTACAACAGCTGACCAGCTGATTTACAGCCAGTGCTGCCAACGTATTTCGCGCGCATACGACGTTGCCTGCATTTACGCGCTCACTATTTCGTGTCTTCACGTTGCAAATCTGGAGTGAGACAAAGTAATTAGAGTGAGACAATGTTAACATTGTCTCACTGATGAGCGAAATGGCCACTTTGCTTTCTCAAATCAGTGAGAGAACATGTACATTGTTAGGTAACTGTAGGAAAACACATCTTCTGTAAATTCAAGCTCCATCTGACTTACGACTGCGTACTTTCAATAGTGAGCCTTTTAATACTAGAATATACTTCAGGACCAACCTAATAACTATGCCATTTATTTATTCATTTATTTATTTATTCGTACATACGACAATCGCCATTTTACAAAATATGTTTGATTAAGTATACAGAATATTATGATAGATTTTTCTTTCAAAGCTGTAATATAGTAGCAATAGGACCATATTAGATTATTAGTAACCGGAAACAGATTAAGTTACTGGGTGGCTGCACTGCCTACATCGGCGTGGAGCTCCCTGATTGGCTGCCGATCGGTCAAGGAGTTTTCCGTCTTGATGACCTTCACTTCAAGTCTAGCAAGGTGTGTAATCAGATGTCGCCATGTTTTCTCATTAGTTATAGTAGTTATTACAAATGGCGCAGTCGTAGTCAAGTTCGTTCAACTTCTTTTTCGCGAGTGCGGATTGTTGAAAAATTAATTTGAGGAACCATGTCGTCCCGTTCAATAGGGAGTATGGGGGAATTTAACCCTCATGAAGAGGATATTTCGTCATATTTAATGAGGCTGAAACACTACTTGAAGGCCAACAGCGTAAAGGAAGGATCGGAGTTATCCATTTTGATTACTGTAATTGGACCAAAAGCTCTGGCTGTTCTCACGGACTTAGTATCACCAGATTCGGTAGATTCCAAGGATTATAAGGATCTGTTAAAGGTGTTGGAAGCACATTATTCTCCAAAAAGGTTAGTGGTAGCCGAACGCTACACGTTCTACTCACGTGTTCAGCGTCCCAATGAAAGTATTGCTGATTTTATGGTAGCAATTAGGCATTTATCAAGCACATGTAACTTCAAAGCCTTTCTTAAGGATGCACTCAGGGATAAATTAATATCTGGAATCCACAATGAGGCAATTAGGCAAAAACTTCTCAGTGATGAACAAGATTTGGATTCAACTTTTTCATTAGCACTAACCTTAGAGCAAGCTGAAAAACAAACTAGTCTTTTTGTAGGTTCAGGGAACCATGTTCATGATTTAAATAAAATGAGTCTAGGTCCACGTAAAGTAGGCCTAAGTGCCAAGCACGGAGTTAAATCAGCTAAGTTTTCAAGGTCACCTGCTGAGGTAGGCCTAGTTGGCCAATTTCATAAGCTAAAATGCTATCGTTGTGCGAAAGAGCACAAGGCTCATGAATGTCCTTATATCAATTTTAAATGTAATATATGTAAAAAAATTGGACACCTTGGTAAGGTGTGTAGGTCAAAGGATGTGTCTGATAGTAGGCCTAGGACTAACAAAAAAGTGTTTAAGGTTCACAATGTTGAAGAGACATCGGAAGTTTTACAGGACTTATGTCTGTATAGTGTAGGCCTTGGAGATGGAAAGGCGGGTTATGAAGTAGGGTTGCTGATTGAAAACCATAATGTGACCATGGAGCTCGATACAGGCAGCGCCCTTACGGTCTGCCCCTTTGAGTGGTATCGTAAATATTTTTCACATCTGGCTTTAAAGCCTTGTTATGTAAAACTACTTACCTATTCAGGAAATGAAGTAAGTGTGTTGGGACAGATTTTGGTTAGAGTAAAAGCGGCCAACCAAATTTATCAGGACTTGCCGTTAGTTATTGTAGAGTTAGGCCAAACGGGTCAACCAATGTTGAATCAGAATCAGAATCAGAATTTTTTTGCCATAATAATACATAAATGTACAGGGCAAAAGTCACTAAAACTAAAACAAATAAAATCAGACCCATTAAAATAAGATACAAACTTCAAAAGGTACAAACTATTTACAATTTAAAAACGAAGAAACACTGTAAAATTCCTTATCAACTAGATATTCCCTCAGACCACGCTTAAATTTTTTAAAATCATGTTCGCCCTTGATTGAGTTAGGAAGAGAATTAAAAAGACGGATACACATGGAGAATGATTGGTTTTTATGGAAAGTGGTACGAGATAGTGGAATATGTAGGTTAAAGTTCCTCCTGAGATTGTAGCTGTGGTGAGATGACCCTCTAATATGAAACATTGTCGAATTTTTTCTTAAGAAGGTCAAAGATTCAAAAATGAAAATTGATGGGAAGGTCAGCATATTATTTGTACGAAAGACAGATCTACAAGACTCTCTATATTTTAGGTTGAAGATTAATCTGATGGCTCTTTTTTGCAGTTTGAATATTTTCTTAGTCTGAAGTTTGTCGTTACCCCAAACGGGCACACAATATGTAAGAAAGGGATAAACAAGACCGTAATAAGCTGTCAGAAGGATGCGTCTTTCTTGATAACAGGAGAGCCTACGAAGAAGGAAAGCACTAGTACTAAGTCTATTGTGAATTTTGTCGATGTGACTGGAAAATTTCAGATTGCTGTCAATGACTACTCCTAAATATGTTACACTAGAAGAAGAAACAATGTTGATGTTGTCGACAGGTAAATTTAAAGATTCAGATGGGTTAGACGAATTCTGCCGTATACGAAATTCTAAAAGTGATGTTTTCTGAGGATTAACATGTAGAGAGTTCTCGTATAGCCATTGGAAAACAAAACTACTCTCAATAAATGTTTGGATTTCTAGCTGTGCATGATTTTGACTGGAGACAACGAGGGAAGTATCATCAGCAAACAGATGTAACTTTGAATTTGACACAACAGGAGGCAGATCATTGATGAACATTAAGAAAAGGACGGGCCCAAGAACGGACCCCTGAGGCACACCTGTACTTACAGTACGCTCATCAGATATCCTACTACACAAACAGCCTGAGAAATCAATGTAAGGGACTTCTACAACTTGCCTCCGTCCTTTAACATAAGAAGACATCCAATCCATAGCTACTCCACGGATACCCAATCTTTCCAGCTTATTTAGAAGTAGGTTGTGGTCAACGACATCAAAAGCTTTGGTAAGGTCAAGGAACAAACCGGAGACATGATTCTTTGCGTCGAGAGAGTTGGAAACCTCTGTAACCAGGCTGAACACAGCATTTAGGGTGGAGTAACCTGAACGGAACCCGAACTGATTTTTGTTGATAATCTTATTTTTATCTAAGAATTGATTTAATCTAGCTAAGAAGATCTTCTCTGTTACTTTAGAAAATGTCGATAATATAGAGATTGGCCTGAAGTTATTGCAATCGTGCCGGCTTCCTTTTTTCTTATATATTGGCTTGACTATTGAAAGCTTAAGTACTGCAGGAAATGTTCCACTCTGGAATGAACAATTAATTAGATAGGCTAAGGGAGCGGCAAGTTCTTCAGCACATTTCTTTAAAGTTTTGATGATATTTCATCCCTTCCAGAGGAGTTTCCAGGTTTTAGGGATCGAATGATATCTATTACTTCATTTGCATTAGTTGGAGTAAGAAATAGTGATGGTTGGATCATATTACTATCTTTACTTCTATGTACATCTTGCGTTTGCATGTGTTTAGGTAGTTTTCTTCCAATGTTAGTAAAGAACTCATTCATTGTATTTGCAACTAAATCCGGAGTATCCAGCAATTTCCCTTCTGAATCAAACACTGATAATTTACTAAACGGTCTCTTCAATTTATCTGGTTTAAGGTCATTTATTATGCTCCAAACCTCTTTTTGTACATTGCTACTGTTATTTATCTTCTTAAATATTGCCTCTGCTTTCTTCGAACTTATTTGACTCTTAAAAACCTTTTTAGTGTTTATGTATGATTGTTTAATTGGGTGTGTAATATTGAGATCTTTAGACAGGGTGTAAAGGAAAATCATTTTTTCTCTTAACTCATTCAAATCTGAATCTAGACATATTTTGGTTTTGGACTTTCTTTCCTTTTGTTTACATTTCTTTAGTGGTAGTGCAACATCTAAATAGAATTGTATTGTGGATAGGAAATGGTTGAATTTTCCTTCTACGGATTCGATTTCGAATAAGTCTAGCCATTTCTCTTTCCTTAATAAATACTTGAATGTAGATATGTTTTGATCATTAAAATTCCTTGTCATTTTATACTTAATTATAGTATTGCTCTCTGAATGTCCTTTTATTTCACTTAGTTGGGCATGGTGGTCTGAGATACTAGTTATAAGAACAGAAGAATAGAATAAATGCTCAGGGATGTCTGTAAATATATTGTCAATAATAGTTCTGGAACCTTGAAACTCTCTCGTAAAGGTCTTAATTGTGTCTCGAAGACCAAGTGATAACATCAGGTCTATGAGTAGTTTTGCAGAGGGGCCGTCTCTATCAGTCAAGTCAATATTAAAATCACCTGCAACCACGAAAGATAAGTTTTTAGCTTTCAATGAGTCAAAACATGCTTGAATAGTACTCAAGAATTTCTGTATGTTACTTTGTATATTGCTTGGAGATCTGTACACGCATACAAAGATTGTATTCAGAGACCCATTTGTTACTTTAATTGCAGCAAGCTCGCATACACTTTCAATACAAAAGTCAGACACATCTACCACAGTATAATTTATGTGATCAGGTGTAAATATGCATACTCCTCCTTTTTCTACTTGGGTGCGGCAATAGCTAGCTGCTAGTGTGTAGCCTGGCATTCGAAAAGCCTCCACTGGGTGTTGCTAGGTAGAAACTGGCTTGAACATGTAACCTTAGACTGGAAGTCTATATTTTCTCAAGATAAAACTGTAAACCGCTCCGACGAGCACGTTTTTAATAGGCCTAGCCTAAACTCTATTGACAAGTTACCTAACCTAACTTCACTTCAATCAGCTGACTCGGTTCAGCCTAGGGCCAAGGAAGATGTTAAGCATTTAAGGCAAAAGTTTTCTTCTGTGTTTGAAGGAAAATTAGGTTCAATCAAGGGTGTGAAGACACATATAGTTTTGAAAGATGGAGCTGTACCGAAGTTCTGCAAATTTCGTCCAGTGCCGTTCGCTCTTCGCAAACAAGTGGAAGAGGAAATAGACAAGATGGTGGATGATGGAATTGCTTATCCTGTTTTGAGTTCCGACTGGGCAACCCCACTGGTTGTTGTGCCCAAGCCTACAGGAGTTAGGCTATGCGGGGACTTTAAGGTAACGTTAAACCAAGTTATCCAAACTGAACACTATCCTTTACCTCAACCCGAGGATATTTTTGCTTCATTATCTGGTTGTTCTGTGTTCTCTGTTATTGATTTACAGACAGCCTATCTTCAACTGGAGGTCGCTGAGGATTCACAGGAGTTGTTAACCTTGGCAACACATAAAGGATTATTTCGTCTTACTCGTTTGCCATATGGCCTATCCAGTGCACCTGCTTTGTTTCAGGCAGCTATTGATGAGATAATTAAAAATCTTCCCGGTACGGTAGCGTACCTTGATGATGCCTTGATTGGCGGACATTCATACCCTGAAGCAGTGTCTAGGTTGGAGCAAGTTCTTCAACGCTTCCAAGAATACGGAGTGAAGGTTAACGATAGTAAATGCAAATTTTTACAACCTGTTGTAGACTATTTAGGTTATAGGTTGTCGGCTGAAGGTATAAGTCCACGAGAAGGGCTAGTGGAAGCCATCAAGGATGCCCCGGAACCAGCAAGTAAGGAGGAGTTGAGATCATATATAGGGCTCATTAATTACTATGGTAGATTTATTTCCAATCTCTCTGATAAGCTGAACTGTTTCTATGAGTTGTTGAAAAAGGATGTTTCTTTTGTTTGGTCTAGGAAATGTGCTGAAACTTTTAAACAGAGTAAACACTGGGTGTTATCTTCTGATATTCTTGTACATTATGATGTCAATAAGCCACTAGTGCTTACATGTGATGCAAGCCCTCGAGGCGTGGGGGCGGTGTTGTCCCATTTGATTGATGGCGAAGAGAGGCCTATTGCTTTCGCCTCTAAAACTCTGAGTCAAAGTGAGAAAAATTATTCTCAGCTTCATAGGGAAGCCCTAGCATTAGTATTTGGTGCTAAGAAATTCCATAAGTATATTTACGGGAGAAAACATGTCATATTACAGAGTGACCACCAGCCGTTGGCTACTATCTTTGGCTCAAAGCGAGGAACCCCAAGCCTAGCCGCAGCGCGCCTACAGAGATGGGCCCTGATTTTGGCTTCGTATGACTTCGAAGTGAGATATCGCAAGGCGTCTGATGTGCCACATGCCGATGCCTTATCCCGGTTGCCGTTACCGGCAAGTGATTCACTGGAACTGGAAAACAACTTTATCTCGCACACTCAGGAATGCGTGGAGGTACTAAACTGCTTCAGCACGGTGAGTACCGAATCACCTATCACTTCTAAGGAAATTGCTAAATTCACTGGTACTGATCCTATATTATCTAAAGTAAGAGATTATGTTTGGCACGGCTGGCATGGCGCTGTGGATAAAGAGTTATTGCCTTTTGTAAAAAGGAAAGATGAACTTTCTGTGGATAGTAATTGTCTTCTGTGGGGGGCCCGTGTGGTCATTCCGACAAAATTGAGGAATCAAGTTTTAGAATTGCTTCATGATCAACATCCAGGCATTACACGGATGAAGCTGTTATCACGTAGCTATGTGTGGTGGCCCGGTATAGAACAAGGTATTGAAGAAACAGTGTCTTCTTGTTATATTTGTCAGTGTACGAGGAATGCAGCTCCAAAAGTCCCTCTCCAACAGTGGCCCCGTGTGTATGGCAGATGGCAACGGGTGCACATAGATTTCGCTGAAGATACTAATTCTAGGCAACAAATGTTAGTACTAGTAGACAGTTTTTCTAAGTGGATCGAGGTGTTTGTTATGAAATCTACTAGTTCTCTCAAGACCATTGAGCGTCTCCGTTCACTTTTTGCATCGTATGGGCTTCCGGACACTCTAGTATCTGATAATGGCCCTTCTTTTACAAGTTTTGAGTTCAAAGAATTCTTAAAGAAGAATGGAGTAAGGTTTGTCTTATCACCTCCTTATCATCCTGCGTCAAATGGTGCGGCCGAGCGGTGCGTTCAAGAAGTGAAGAAGAACCTGTTGAGACAGGTGTTGAGTGAAGGTGGTACTGGTTCTCTGACTTTGCAACATAAACTTGATAACTTCCTAATGACATACAGAAATACACCTAACACTGTAACCGGACTTACCCCGGCAGAATTGTTTCTCAACTGGAAACCTAAAACTAGGCTTGCACTTCTCAAACCTAACCTCAACGCTCGTATTGACACGAACCTGGACAGACAGAAGGAGAGTTCGGATAGGCATAGGGGAAGGGCAAGGTCCTTTGAAGTTGGAGAGAAAGTGTTCGTTAAAACTGTCAGGCAGGAGAAAATTGATTGGGTACCTGGAAAAGTTCTGGAGATAAAAAGTTCTGTAATATATCTTGTTAGTGTATTGGGAAAAGTTAGGCGTTGCCATGCTGACCACCTCAGGTCTAGGGTTAACATGGAAGAGGAGGGGATAGCAGTGCCAAGTTGTGAGCCAAGGTCTCCCATGAAACCAGTACTTCCTGAGCGAGGGGAAACTTCAGAGGACAAGGAGAGGCAACAAGTTTCGCCCAGGCGGCAATCTCCATTGAAGGACTCTGAGACTGCAGCGGTCCAGCCAAGACATGAAGACTCACCTGCGGTAGTGCAGTGCAGCCAGCCCGATCTTAGAAGGTCAAAAAGGACAATTCAAAAGCCTGAAAAGCTAGACCTTTAAGCTATTCAGGCAGAAGTGAGAAGAGTTTATTTTAGTTTTATGAGAAGAATTTTTAAGTTGGAATCAAGGTTTAATTAATAAAAATGAAAAAAAGAAATTATTATGAAGAGAAAGTTTTATGTTAGAAGAGTATGTTATTTGTGGTCTTACAGCAGTAGTGTGGGCCTAATCTAAATGGTGGCGAGTGTAATATAGTAGCAATAGGACCATATTAGATTATTAGTAACCGGAAACAGATTAAGTTACTGGGTGGCTGCACTGCCTACATCGGCGTGGAGCTCCCTGATTGGCTGCCGATCGGTCAAGGAGTTTTCCGTCTTGATGACCTTCACTTCAAGTCTAGCAAGGTGTGTAATCAGATGTCGCCATGTTTTCTCATTAGTTATAGTAGTTATTACAAAAGCCATGTAATAATTACTATTATTACAATAGCTATATAATAGTTATATAATGCTATTAGAGCAGTATAATTACAATTATATTAGCATAAATACAATTATATTAATTTTTTAGGTATCAAAGCAATATAGGTACTACTTTATTGATTTCATCGGCATTTCTATCCAAATTGTATATGTGTTTAATCAATTATCCTTGATCACGTTAAATGTTTGCTCTAAATTGTAATTAAAATATGATCTCCCCCCGTATGATCTAAATTCAGTATTTAACTTATATTTCTATGCAATTAGGAAATAATTGGGTAGTCAAAGGGTTATTTTTAAACCAAACCGTTGAGCTTTAATACATTTTACAAAAATTGTATTGATGTATTTACCGTAGGCTTGGGTATAATATGATACGCAAGACAAGTTTTATTGTTTTTTAGAAATCATTATTTACAAACGATTAGGCCCCTACTTCATATTATCTTAACATATATTTTTTGCAAGATGAGTAGAAGCTAATATATATTTATACTTTTATGAAAATAGCCGCACCCTTTACAAAGCTCTAGCATAGTCTGGTGTAGAAGGGTGGGTTTCCTTACATCACCATATTAAATTCCAACTCAGAATTTCCCTAACGTCTTTAATGCTTGGTACTATATGTTGAAGAGTTCTGGTTATTATAACACGCTTGTTTTTACAAACAAGGAAATTAAGTAAAATTCAACCTGGAACCCTGAATTTTAGTCACACTTGAGAGTAACACCCTGTAAAATGAATTGCTGATAAAACTGCTAAGGTTAGAATGTTGAGCTTCTCCATAAAATATAAAATATACATCATTATTTATTACAGTGTAAATGCTAAAAAAAACCCTTAACAGTTTATTCATCACCCAATTAAGGATTGTTACTCATAACTATGACTCAACTTAAGAGTTCCAGGTACTACTTTACTTAATTTGTCATCTTAAGTAGAAATAAGCTTACTAATAACCAGGAATCATTAACACACATATGTTCACAAACACACATTCCTGTTTAGTTAGCTTACAGGTTTTTTCTCAACCTGAAATTAGAACACGTAATAATCGTAGAAACATGTTATAAGTTCTAATATATTCTATAGTTCCACCACCACGAAATATTATTGGTACCATACATACTAACATACATGTTGGGCTCTGTCTCTGGTTTATGACTGACTAAATTATTATTTATTAATTATTTGTTATGATTTTAAATCTTCCATACCAGCAGGTTAAGGAAAAAACCAAATTAAATACAGTATTTTCAAGTAAATATAATATTCTAAGAATTGTGAAAATTAAATAGTAAATAATACTTAGCTGAACAAACATCATAAAAACTCAAATATAACCTTCCCAAAACTACTATTTTAACATAAACATAATTTTTGGTTGGGTCTGCGATTTAAATAGTACTGTCGTAATATTTATGGTTCAATGGGGATATTTAAATATTCCATTTAAATATCCTTATAATTATAAGGATTATAAAAAAATCCATATTTTTTACCTTACAAGGAAAGCTTCTCTGAGCACATCACTAATGTTTCCCAGCTGGCGTTGGGTGAATAATTGTTTCATTGAATGATTTTTTAATCATATGAAACTTAAAAATAGTTTAAAAAGGGGCTAAGAACTTTCAAAAGTTATTTTTTCAGCCTGTAACTTGTTTTAAGTTAAAAGTACAAAAGATACGTATAATAACACTTATAATAATATATTTACAACTAATAATATATTTACACTTACACTGTTGACTCACAAGACGGTAAGCAGATATAAAAGATGGTAAGTGGTGATCGATTTCGATTGGACACTCCAATCATCATCAGATCCAATGAGCGAATAATAATTTTTAATAATTTCGCCTATTGGGCCTGTTGGAGTGGCCAATCGAAATCGCCACTTACCATCTTTTGTACGTAGTTTGAGTCAACAGTTTAAGTGTTGATATATTATTACAAGTGTAAATTAGAAGTATATTTTTGTAATTTCAGGTAATCTAATAATAAGTACCATGTTATTCAAGAAATTATTTTGGTTTTAGCAAAAAAAAAACTACAATATAACCATACATGCTATGCAACTCCTTGCATAGGGCCATTTACTTAACACATAATAATAATCACTAATTTGACAGCAAGAAAGAGAGTGGTTTATTTCATTACCTAAGGCGCTAATGTTATTTGGGTAGTTTATTCCTAAAGTTATTATGTAACACATGGATACTGCAATCCCCTTTATGTTATCAAATCAAATCAAATTATTTATTATCATAGACATTTACATGCATTGACATTGTCAGTGGAGCAGACCATAAAATTTCAATGTTCATTGTCTAAATAATCAGAGGTAACTTGGGTATGAGCGTCTATGTTGTACAAATTCCTTTTAACTACAGGGTTAACAATCACAATAGACTATAAACAATTTAACAAATGAACAATTAACAAAGTTGAAGAAAACAAAAATAGACTATATAGAAATAATTAACAGATTTGGATACAAAGTTACAGACTTATCACAGGTTGTTCTAGGAACTCTTCAATACTGTAAAAAGGATTTCTTAAGAGCCAGTCACTGAATTTTTTTAAACATATTTTTTGTGGATACTTATTTACATTAATAACTACCTTATTATAAGCTTTCTTACACATAACAACATGGCTATTTAAAGATTTGCTCAAACGGAGGTGCTGGTAACTTATTTGATGTCTACCACGAGTATTGTAGGGATGTACATCTTCATTCAGAACCATGACTGGTAGTTTTTTTAAAGAATAAATAACAAGTTCTAAAATATAAAGGTTAATAACAGTAAAAATCCTTAATTTAATAAAAATAGGCCTACAATGTTCAAGATCAGCTGAACCATCAATAATTCTAACAGTTTTTTTTTTTTTGTAATATTAACACTTCTTCAATTCTTGAACAATTGCCCCAGACAAGCAGTAATGTTCAATGTTATTTCCAACCAAGCGAGCATTACATTGGCTGATATCATGAAACCTTAATACCAGATTCGTTGTGCTTCGTCTAGCACGTAAATTGATGTCAGATCTGATTTCCCACTTTTATTCCTTTACAGGATAGCTTTGGCTTCGTCAATGAAACCAGTAAACACTAAATGCCACTTTTGGGATTATCTTAACATCAATATTCTGTGTACGCTCATTTTGTTATAAACTAGGTAGGTGTATTTTAATATACATGATTTGTATAGTGATATGGTTATTTTGTGTAGTCACATTCAAAAGTGCCACATGTGTTAATCAGCAAGCAGTAGACATAAATACTTTGCGAGTTCACCAAATCTTTATGTGTACAAATGTTAAATTTAAAGATTTTACTACATTTCTGTAAGACATTGTATATAAAGAATGTTTCTCTTTTCTTGTAAAATTGAATTTATAATAAACAATAATATAATTAAAGGATTTTTGCAAATAATAATGGTCTATATTCTTTACTTATAAATTATCAGTATGATTGTTATGTGCATACTATTTTGATAGATTTTTTACTTTCAGTATTTAATGATTTATTACATTAAAAATAACACTTTTACTGTTTATTTGCAAGTTACAGGTTAGATGAAAGACTAAAATAATTTTCTAGATATTGGTGTTCTTTGAAATGCACATATCCTCTAGATAAGGTTTTAATGTAGCTACTTCTGAACATCCCATACCATTTATAGCTTGTATTTATAGCCTGTTTTTTTGTCTTTCATTGCCTGTTATTGATTGTTTTTTTTGTCTGCATTGCCTGTTATTATTGTCTGTTGTTTTCATTGAATATCATACTTACCCAACGTTTTTTCAAGTTCAGTTTTGTTTTATATTTATATAATTAGTAATACAGTATAGTGTCGTTGCTAATTATGCCATCTTGTAATTGATTATGCTAACTACTAGGCCTATTGTATAAACGGTGTTACCATGAATAAATAAAATAAATAAATAAAAATATTAAACGGGATGTTAATGAATTATTAAATTTCCCCATTAGATTTTAAGAATTAGATTAAATATATAAGCTACATTGTAATTAAAACGAGATTCCCACGGTACCTGTTGCTACGTTGAAATACAGTATTTACAACTGCTTTTGCCCTATTAGGAAATAACAGTTTATTTAATCATCATAAAGAGTATTTTTACCAACGATCTAGAAAACTATTAAAGCATTCAATAATGCGTCATCCTTAAAACCTAAGACAAATTGTCGTTTTTACTAAAACTCCTAATTTATTTGAGGTAACCAGTTCTTACTTTTAAAATTATATGATTTATTATTGATGTCAGTATGGTTGCGTTTGCGCCAATTCCCTTGTTTAAATAATAACAAATATTTTGTAAAAACATTATCATTGAACATAAGGGTGGCATTGCTATGGCATCAAAAGGAAGGAAAATTGTTATTTATTACGTTATCCCCTGCAAATTGACTTTGAATAACCTTCGGGCGATAGTTATCACGTAAAACATGAAAATCTGCACTAAAAACAATACGATTTCATAACTGTTTATATTTACAATGCACAATTATTTGTTTGTTTGAAGTTCATTGTCCTCATTCTC